GCAGGAAGGACCACCTTTGCTGGGAGTGAGCCCTGTCACCAGGCATCCAGCAGAAGGCTGGACAGGCACTGGTGGGACAGAGATGATTCTCGGGGTAGCCCTGGGGTGTCTGGGATGGTGGGGGAGACAGAGGGGCAAAGGCAAAAAGCAGGAGTCTGGGGTTTGCTGATCAAGCAGTATGGACTGCTGGTGAGGCATCAACACATTTAAACATCCCAGCATGCTTTGAGCACTTACTGTGCACCCAGCTCTATGTTTGGTACTCTGCCCTCAGAGGGTGAGGGCAAGATGAAGGTGTGCCATTGAGATGCTCAGGGCCTGGTGGGGACAATCACCCTAGGCCTGCCTCCTTCCACTGAGGGCTGGGCACAGTCATCATCAGGGGGAGCAGGGGAGGGGGCCTCCAGTCACCGGGTTTCCCATATACACGCCAGGCCCCAGGTGACCCCACCCTGTTGTCTAGGCAGCCTGGCCCTGAGACAGCCTTGTGCTGGGGCCCTGGAGTGGGACGTTCCACTGGGTGAGGGGGGATGTGGGTGCCAGGCCATGTGCTGGACGGCTTCCCCTGGCTCCTACCACCAGGCACAAAGAGGGCTGGAGATTGAGACTAAGAGGCAGCCTGCATGAATGTGGGAGGGACTGGCCAGGCCCTTGATGCCCTGCCCTGGAGCCCTGGCCACCCCAGGACCTCCAGCTGCCAGTGAGTTCTCTGCCCCACCCCTGCCCATCCAGCACTTCTCCTGTGGTCTGACAGCAGACTTCTGTTTAGTGCGTTTTTTCCCAGTTCCCAAGGAAGGCTGGTAGACAGAATGAGACCACAGCCTGCCAGGCAACACCCCGTAACACTGCCCATCACATGCATATGTACTAGGCCAGTAGCTGTAGACTGGTCTGGATTCTCTTGGAGGTTTCCTAGGCCCAGCCTGAGCTGTGCTGCAACCTGGGGCTCAGGTGGCAAAGCTGGACCTGAGCCAGGCCCAGCATGGCCAAGGAGGGTCAGCTCTGGCCTGCCCGCTCCTGGCAGGAGGGCTCTCCATGGCTTGCTGGCCAAAACTCCTGTGGGTAGTTTCTCGGTAAACCACCCACTCGCAGGGGAAGGGGAGTTTACTGAGAAACTTGCCATGGAGCCATGCTCTCACTACCTTGGATCAGAGCCCCAACTCTGGGCAGAGCAGAGACTCTGGGACTGTCTTCCAAGAGCTGGCACCATGGACCCCTGGCTCAGCTCCTTAGGCTTCCATGCCTATTCTGCTAGCCAGGCGTTTGGTCCATCCCAAGGGTCAAAGAGCCAGAGCCAAGGCTGGATGGCAAGGCCTCCTCTGAAGCAGGAGCTTAGACTTGAAAGCCCCCCATACTCCAGGCATGTGTGCCCTAAGGTGGTGAATGGTGGAATGCTTTCTGGCAGGATCCAATGTTCCTGAAGGAGTAGGCCCTGAGGCTCAGTCTCCGTGCCCTCAGCTGTCACGAGGCCTGGTCAGGGCTGATGCTGTCTGGCTGGCTGGTGCTATTCTAGGAACCTGTTAGGATAAAAACACTCTAGGGGTTTCCAGGAAACTTCCTACTTTAACAGGCCCTTGGCTCCTTCTCCCTGGAACTTTAGGACAGAGCAGAACTTTTGCATCTGTGACCAATGAGGTGAGTAGGACTGGTATTCTCATCTCCATTTTACAAGGAGAGAAAATGCAGCTCCAGAGAAGGGATGAGACTGGCCCAGGACCCTCTAGTAAAAGGTCAGTGAAAAGGTCAACAAGCCTAGAGCTGGGCTTCCCAACCTACCTCACATCATGGCACACTTTCAAAATTATCACTGGAGTAAATGAAGAAGGATGCTGGAGGCTAAAGCACCCATGGGAAGTCCCAGGCATTGTGAACAAGGAAGAGAGTAGAAGGTGCTGGGGTTACAGAGGCAGCAGGGGCCAGATCATGTAGAGCTTTATTTATTTGAGACAGCATCTCGCTCTGTCACCCAGGCTGGAGTGTAGTGGCACAATCACGGCTCACTGCAGCCTCGATCTCCAGGGCTCAAACGATCCTCCTGCTTCAGCCTTCTGAGTAGCTGGGGCTACAGGCATGTACCACCATGCCCAGGTTAGTTATTTTTATTTTATTTTCAGTAGAGACAGGGTCTTGCTATGTTGCTCAGGCTGGTCTTGAACTCCTGACCTAAAGCAATCCTCCTGCGTCAGCCTCCCAAAGTGCTGGAATTACAGGCATGAAGCCACGGTGCCCAGCCCACAGAGAACTTTGTAGGCTCCAGGTCAGGAGATACTGTGGGAAGCCACTGGAAGCTTCAGGCAGAATTGACACGATCTCATTCCTGTTGCTGCTGGATTGAGGACTGGCGGAGGGACAGGAGAGAAGCAGGGGTCTAGGGAGGGGGCTGCCGCAGTCATCCAGGTGCAAAGTGATGGTGGCTTAGACTGGGTGGGGGACAAGGAAGAAGGAAGAAGTGCTGGGATTCTAGATACATTTAGAAGGTAGAGCATTAGGATTTGCTGACAAATTGGATATGGAGTATCAGAGAAGAAGTCAAGGATGACTCCAAGGTCTTTAGTCTGAGCAGCTGAAAGGATGGAGTTGCCATTAACTGAGGAAGACAGGGAGGAGCGTTTGGGGCAGGAAGTCAGAGGTTCTGATCTGGATATGTTGAGTTTAGGGGGCATTTCAGACCACCAAGTAGAGTTGAGTAAGCATTTGGAAAGTAGAGTTCCCAGAAGTGGGGCTGGAGAAGAAATGTGGAGTCATCACATGAAGATGTTTAAAGCTGTAAACCCAGATGAGAGGAAGATGGGAGCCAGAAACAAGGTCAGGAAGGAGTGGTCCATGAAGCTGGAGGAGTATCAGGCAGTGTGGCATTCTGCAAGCCAAGTGAAGAAACTCTTTCAAGGAAGTGGGAGAAACCATTGTGTCTGATGCTGCAGAGAGGTCGTGTAAAATGAAGACTAAGAACTGACCATTGAGTTCAGGATTGTGGAAGTCACTGGGACTTTGACAAGAGTCATCTGGTGGAGGGATGGGGCAGGAGACTGGCTGGGTTGAAGGCAGAATGAGGGCTGAGAACTAGGGGCAGTGAATGGGGACAGGTCTGCTGAGGTTTCTGTAAAAGGGAGGAGGTGGTAGCTGAGGGAGGATTTAGAGATGGGAGAAATGGCAGCCTGTTTGTACCCTGATGGGAAAGATAGGGTTTACAAAATGCATGACACAGTCCCTGGCATGTGGCAGGTACCAGATGCCTGAAGGAGTTCACATGTGTTCACACACCCTGCAGCTGCCCCAGCCTCTCCTCTTCCTTGCTAGCCATCTATAGGGACATCCGCCCCTGTCTGCCTGAGGAAAGGAGGAAGCCTGGGAAGCCCTGTTATGTAAGGCTCCTCCTGGTGGGCAGATGGATGAGCAGGGCCCTGACAGGTGGCAGTGTCAGCACCTTCCCTAAGACCTGAAGGGAAGGGTGAAGCCTGTAGCCCGGAGGCAGGAATGTGAGGAAAGATGCCAGCAACAGGGCTGTTGCTGGCAGATGTGGGAGCCTGTGCCCAGCTGGGAGCTTCATTCCTTGGCTACAGTGGGGCTCATACCCAGCCTTCCATCTAGGCTTGCCCTGGGCTTCTAATAACCAAGTGCCAAGGGACTGTGCCAGGCCCCCTCACCATGAGCCACCCTTCTCCAGGCCTGGTAATAAAGGGGCCATAAACCCTATTCACTACTAGGAGAGATGCCTGAAGCTCTTAAGGAGTCTGGCTAAATTCACCCAGTCAGGAATTGCACCCACAGAGTGGGGAGGAAACCAGGCCACAGCCCCTTATTACTGACTTGCCCCAAAGACGTCTCGTTTCCTCTGTGCCAGGGGTCAGTGATCACTCATCCATGCTCCCAGCCAACAGCAGCCCTGCAGATGGGCTTTTCAAAGTGGGAAGTTGAGCCTTGGTTGCAGAAGATGTCTCCAGGGCCCTGACCCGTGCAGATGTACACTGAGAATACTGTAGAGCTGGGCCTTGGCCCTGGCAGCGACTCCCTGCAGCCAGGTCTCCCTGGGGAGCCCCTCCTTCCAGTCTGCTGACTGAGTCATCTCTTGATAGAGCAATGCAACTAGTGTTAAGAGTCTTGGCCAGGCGCAGTGGCTCACGCCTGTAATCCCAGCACTTTGGGAGACCGAGGCGGGTGGATCACTTGAGGTCAGGAGTTTGAGACCAGCCTGGCCAATGTGGCGAAACCCCATCTCTACTAAAAATACAAAAATTAGCTGGGCATGGTGGTGGGTGCCTGTAATCCCAGCTATTCGGGAGGCTGAGGCAGGAGAATCGCTTAAACCCCCAGGAGGCGGAGGTTGCAGTGAGCTGAGATCGTGCCACTGTACTCCAGCCTGGGCCACAGAGCGAGACTCTGTCTCAAAAAAAAAAAAAAGAAGAGAAAAGAAAAGAGTCCTGCGGTGCTGAGGAAGCAGGAAGTATGGGGGCTGGGCAAGGTTGGCCCTGGAGGAAGCCAGGCCCCATCTCCCCTGAGTTAGGGGATTGAAGAGGGCCCTTCCCTGTGTCAGAAAATCCTGTTAGGCCTGAGCTAAGACAAATGGTCAGACTCAGAATCCCCAGATTGGGGGCTAGAGGAGGAGGAAAAGAAAGCTCCAGGCTGTGCTGGGGTAGGCCTGGGTCCTCAGGCCATGCCCTGCTTTAGAGGGCTGGAGGCTGTAAGCAACCCCCAGACAAGCCAAACCTGAGATGAGGAGGCCAATAAGGGTTTTCTGGACAGAGGAGATGCACCTCCAGGAACTAAGTGCCCAGAAAGACCAAGAGGCTTTCTAGGGGGTGGGACTGCTTGGGCAAAGTCTTAGGGGCTAGTGGGCAGGGGCACTGGACATGGTGACTTGAGTGGTATCCCCTTCCCTGAGGCTTGTGGTTTTGGCCACCACTACTTTTCTTTGACAGCTGGGCTTTCTGCACACCCTCACCCCAGTGCCTTCCCTCCCTCAGGACTCTCCACACTCACCCACTCTCCTTCTCATTTTTCAGCACAAGGCCAATCAGCCCCCCCATGGTGTCCCCCAACTCTCTCTCTACGACCATTTCAACAGCCCACACCCCACCCCTGCACCTGCGGACATCAGCCAGAAGCAAGGTACAAGCCTGGGATGGGGAGGGGCCCAGTGAAACCAGAGCCTAAGGGCCAAGACCCTGGCTTCTGAGATCAGGTAGCTGGGTCCATTTTATAACTGGAGAACCTGGGGCTGTGCAAACTAAGGGCCCAAAGAAAATTCCAGAAAGGTGGACTGGGGGTATGAGGGCACCAGAAGACTGGAAAAGGGGGTGCTAGGTCAAACTGTGAAGGCTTCAGGTTGAGCTACAAGCCTAAATCTCATGGGTGACCTCGCTGCCAGTATTGCAGCATTGCTGAGAACTGTAAAACTGTAGCCTTTCCTCCCCTCAGTGAGAAAATGGAAAGTGGTGGTTGTGACGGCTGATTCACCTCAGCCTCAGGCAAAGTCATTCTGAAATCCCTCATTGTCAGCTGTGGGAAACCTGCTGACTCAACCCTGGGGGGCAGGTGGAGCCTTGGCTCCCCAGGCTGGGTTCCCCTAGACCAGGGGCCTGCCTCCTGCCCAGAAAGCCAGGCTGGAGTCCCCCAAGCAGAGATGCCCCAATGCCTCCATGCCTGAGTGACTTCAGCTCTGCCTACTGGCCCCCTAACGTCTTAGGCAAGTCACCCCAGCCCTCTGCCCTGGGTTCCCTTGTCTGTCAAAGGGGCACTGTTATCACACTGGGATCCTCCTGAATAAACCAGTTTATGTCCGGTCCTCTAGCAAAGCTGGTGGGATCTTAAGGCCCCTATAGGAGGCTCTAGGTTGCAGTAACTGCTGATGTGGCCTGCCGAGTCAGGCTAGCCCACTCACTCAGCCTCTCTCCTCTGCAGTTCACAGGCCTCTGCAGACCCCTGACCTCTCTGGCTTCTACTCCCTGACCTCAGGCAGCATGGGGCAGCTCCCCCACACTGTGAGCTGGTGAGTGGGGGTCCAATGGGAAAGGGGCACCGTGTGCTGGTCAGACCAAGACCTGCCTGCCCTTCCATTTCCTCCTCCATCCCTCTTGGCTGGCCACCCTGCTGCCAGCTCTGTTTAGATGCCAGAGGCTGGCCAGCAACTCTGTCCTAACCTGGCTCCGAGCTAGGGGTCTTCATGTACCCCTGGCCTGCATTCCCCAGGTAGCCTGACATACTCCCTTTGGGGAGGCAGGAGAACTGCTCCTTGGTCCCAGCCCTGTGTCCCTCAGTGTCCAAGAGGTCCCCTTGGATGGGAGAACTCTGGGCTGCTAAGGGACCTCCAGGGCCATATGCATATGTGAAGAAGAAAGGTGGGCCCGAGCAGGGCGGGGACAGCATGAGTGGCCACCAGAGAGGCTTCTGCTTCTCAGCTCACTGTCCTCAGTGCCTACTGCTTCTGGTCCTTTCCTTGGCTGGGCTGGTTGAGGGGCAGTGTCCCTCCCTGTGGTGCCTGCTTGAGCCCAAGCCTCTGACCAGCCTGCTTGGAGAGTCTTAAGGCTGGGCCAGGAAAAGAAAGCCCGGCCTCCTCAGCCAGTAGGCCTGACTATGGGCCAAAGGGCCTATCCTCAGCTGGAGCTGGGCCTTGGCAGGCTACTTGGCCCTTTACTCATCAACGATAGTGTGAGCTGTGCAGGTCTATAGCCTATTTCAGAGAGCTGGACTGCGGCAGTCACCCAACAGCAGGAAAACTTGACTTCCCAGGGAGATCATGCAGGCCAGAGGCCCAACCTGCGGCCCACTTGCCCTTTACCCATGGTCAGCACCCTCCTCTGTTCCAGATTCTCCTTGGACAATCCATTCTGAATACAAATCAAGACTACTCCCATGAATACCCCTAGGATCAAGGTGTAGCAAGATGCTCAAGAGCCCAGCCTTACTGGACTAGACCAGAGTTCCGTGGATGCAAATCTTTAGGCCAGCCTTTCCAAAACATCCCCTAGGCCAGCAGTGCTAAAGTCTAAGAGACTTGAGTAGATTTTACCTACCAAGGCTGTAAGGAGGCGACTTTAGGCAGCCCTGTGCTCTCGCTTCCACCCGGTAGCACTTGGCTGTGAGGAAAGAAGTGGGGGTATTTTCGCCATCTTTCCACTGAGCCCTACTGTGTGCCAGGCAGGGTTCTGGGCACCGGGGTAGTCGGCACTGCTGAAGCTGACTGATCCTTAGGTCCCTGCCCTCTCAGAACTCAGTCTACCTAGTGGGCAACCCAGGCAAAAAACCAGACAATTATAGGGCACTCTTGGTAGTGCTCTGGTTAGGGACTGTAGGAGCCCAGAGGGGTACCTCATCCAGCTTGGAATCTCAGGGATTTCAGGAGAAAGGGTCACTTAGCCATGGAAGACCTGAAGGATGACCAGGAGTTGAAGCAGGCAAAGTGGTGCAAAACAATCCAGTGTTAACAGTGGCTGCAATGGCCCCAGGACAGGTATCAGCCCTATACCGTCAAAGAAACAGAAGCAGGCTGGAGGGGCCCAGGGGCCTGCTAAGCTGGGCCCCAGAAGAAGGATACCGTTTCCATTCCTCAAGCACCCATACAAGTTCACAGAGGGAAACAGGTGCAGCACAAGCTGCCCTCTGGTGGCAGATGCTTGAAATTCCAGCAGAGGCCCATCTGTCTCACAGGATGGGTCAAGGCCTGCCTAGCAAGGTAGGGAAGTCCTTCCCTGTGTCTGGCCAGCAGCCAGACTGCTAACAGCTGTCTCTCCCAACCACAGGCCCAGCCCTCCTCTCTACCCCTTGTCCCCTTCCTGCGGATATAGACAGCACTTCCCTGCCCCCACTGCAGCCCCTGGCGCCCCCTACCCCAGGTGAGTCCCCTACACTGCAGCCAGGCTCCTGCTTCCTGTTGCCCAGGCTTCAGTGCCCACACAAGGCCATGCCCGGGCCAATGCTTGCCCTGTGTTAGTCGTTTGTCCATCTGTCCGTCTGTCATTTTGCAGCCCCCTGCTGTCCTGTGCCTGAGAATGAAGCTAGTGCAAGTGCCAAGAGGCCTCAGCCCGGGCCACACCATGCAGCAGAGCCCCAGAGGCTAGGACAGTACATGCATACGTGGCTCACCCCTTGTGCAGATGTGTGTGCACTCACCTCTGTTCATCCCTACTTAGGACTCTCCTGGGAATCCCCTGAGCTCTGCCCCAAGCTGAGACAGCACCTTTTACATAAGTCCCCAACCTCTGACCCTTAGGGGCTGCTGGCTCAGGGATAACACCTGTGCAAGCAGTAAGGGGCAGAATAGTCTCCACAGAACAGCAAGAAAGTGAAGTGGGAGGTGTGTGTACATGGATCCCTTCACTTAGGTTGCTCCCTCAGTGACAGACTCAGTGCCAGATATGCAATGGCAGGGGATTCCACAGACATTTCTAGCCTACTGGAGCTCACAGCCCAGTATAGCAAGTGTAGACATGGCACCAGCAGCTTAATGGGCCAGCTGAGTGATGGGGAAGCAGGCCTGATGGGTCAGGGAGAGCTTCATGGAAAGAGTAATACATCTTTTGCAAGAGGAAGACAAGGGAACAGCCATTATTGGGGCTGACCGGGAGTGGAGAGGGACAGGAAGCAGAGGGGAAGAGAAGGGGCTAGAAACAGCAGCAGGATGCTCATGCAGGGCTGTGCAGGCCCTTGGGAGCAGCCTGGGTTCTATTGTGTGGATGCTGGGGGAATTTCAGCAGGAGCAGGTCAGGAACATTCAGGTGTTTTTAATGGTCACTCTGGCTATTGGGTGGAGAGAGGCCTGGAAGGGTCAAGCAGGAGAGGGATGAGGCCTCACAGGGCAGCCACAGGCTCCTGAGGCTGGGTTGGTGGGGGAAGGACATGAGAAGGGGACAGATTCAAAAGCTACTTGGGACCTATGTAGTAACCACCTGAATGGCAATCTATGTAGATTTTTACAGTGTGAGTGTGCTGGGAGCAGGTATTTGTATTTATCTCTGTGTACTTATGTCTAGGCCAGTAGGGGTAGAGTATCTGTTCACCTGTGTCCTCCAGTCATGTACTATGCAGGGGCCTCCGTGTGTGTCCAAAGGTCTGGCCCATAATTCTTGGCTCAGTGTTAACTTTCTTCCTGCCTCCAGGTTCACCCACCCGTCCTTGATGCTAGGTTCTAGTGTACCTGGTCACCCAGCAGCCATCCCCCACCCGGCCATTGTGCCCCCCTCAGGGAAGCAGGAGCTTCAGTCCTTCGACCGCAACCTGTGAGTGAAAAGACAATGATGGCAGGGGGTGTCGTCAGTCAGGATACACATGCCTCCCCATCAGGCCTGAGGACTGCCGCCAGCTCACTGGCCAAGCTGTTTGTGCCTCTGGCTACATGTTTTTGATCCTCAGAAGTAGGAGGGGGTGGGTGGGATGGGGAACAAGGATTTTTCTGAGCCAACAGAGGGGGGGCTCGGAAGTCCTTAACACATGCTTTTCCCACTTGGCTGTAGTATCCCTATAAGGAACAGTTACTTAGCTGTCTGCTCACCCATTTGGGGGCAGCTAGAAAAGATTCCACTTAGAAAACTCTGGTATCATACACTTATGCACACACTAGGCCCGCACTAGAGGAGGAGGCTGCCATTAGGTGGGCACTCAGGGGGCTCCTCAGCAATCTGGATTTGTGCTCCTCAGGAAAACACAAGCAGAGTCCAAGGCAGAGAAGGAGGCCAAGAAGCCAACCATCAAGAAGCCCCTCAATGCCTTCATGCTGTACATGAAGGAGATGAGAGCCAAGGTCATCGCAGAGTGCACACTTAAGGAGAGTGCTGCCATCAACCAGATCCTGGGCCGCAGGGTAAGACCATGGGCAGGTGGGCTGGCAGGGATGCTCCCTGACCCTCTTCAGCCTGGTGCAGCCTGCTGACTCCCTGATGCACCCCACCTGTCCCCCTTCCCTATTGCAGTGGCATGCGCTGTCGCGAGAAGAGCAGGCCAAGTACTATGAGCTGGCCCGCAAGGAGAGGCAGCTGCACATGCAGCTATACCCAGGCTGGTCAGCGCGGGACAACTATGTGAGTGGCCAGTGACACACAGCAGGGGTGGGCAGGGGACCCTTCCAGATACCATGCCCCAGGCCACAATCTCAGCAAGGAACGCAGAACTACTGTCCTGAAGGCACTGATGAGGAAGGGCATGGAGGGTCTAAGGCCTCCCATGGCTGCCTCAGAAGAGGACAAGCCCACATCCTATTCTCCACTCCAGAATATGCTCACACATGGGCTGTTACCCAACATTTGATTGGGCCACATGGGCAGAAGGGGAGAAAAGGGTCTGGAAGTCACCTCACCTCCCTCCATTCAAATTGGAGACCAGAATGGGGTACGGGAAGAGCTTCTAAATGCACTCCATAGCAGCCTAGCAAGAACAGCAATCGAGAAACACCAGCATCCCCAAGGTAGGAGGGGCCTGTATGCCCAGAATCCCAGAGGTACCAATGCTAGGCAGCAGGCTGTGGGTATCCCAGTGTCTGCCTCCCAGATCTGAGCATCCCTCCTTTTGTTCCCTGCAGGGGAAGAAGAAGAGGCGGTCGAGGGAAAAGCACCAAGAATCCACCACAGGTGAGACCTTCCCTCAGCAGTAGTGGAGGCTCTTCTCCATGTCCCCATTTTAAGAGCAGCCCTCCTCTGACCCAAAGGGAGGAGCATGGTACCCAGCCAGGAGCCTTCAGGGCCTGGGGCCTATGAAAATAAGACCTGCATCTCACAAGTCAAATTCCCATGCAAGAAACAGCTATATTATACTAAGTCCCAGGGAAACTCAGCAGAACTGGCTTCTGCTGGGTAGAATTGGGTAGACGGTGTATTCCTCTGCCTTGCACCCATGACCTTTGCTAGCTCCACTCACCAGAGAAACTAGCAAGGAACTGACTATGGTTTGATGCTTAGCCCAAACAATGTCCTGGCTAGTTCTGCTGAGATTGGGAGAGGCTGAGCTAGGCCCCATGACTAGGCGCAGTAATCACACAGCCTACTGGCTGGAGCCTGGCAATTTATCACCCCTACTTCAACATTTTTCATGGCAGTGCAAAGTGCTCTATGTAGAGAAGCCCACACTCTGCTGCAGGCCTCCTTCCTGTGGGTGAATTCCTGCCCCTCTGGTAACTTAGACTCTACATCCCAGACCTTCTCAGATGTGCTGTCCCCATATAGGGAAGCTGGAGGCTAGGACTGGGATAGAGCAGGGCAGAGTTCTTAGCCCTTTTTCCAAGGTAAAGAATGGGCCCTTCCTTCCACCTGCAAGTGAACAGGCATAAGGTATAGCCTTCAGCCTTATCTCTTGAAGGAATGTAGGTCAAGAATGAAGAAAAACTGGATAAAATGGGTAGGGGGTTGGGGAGGAGGTGGGTGGCCCTAGGGCAGAAGAGGCTGGATCTCCATGGTCTTCCTTGGGCTCCTCTGCAGCCTCCATGCTGCAAGGGCCCCATAAGCCACAGAGATAAGCCAGACTGACAGGACTCCCTCCCTCCCATTCTTCCCACTGCCTCTACTGCGTAGCTGGGTGCCCACTTTTCCTGATATCTTGGCTCTGGGCTCTTGGGCTCCCACTGGGGCTGGCTGTGCCATGGAGAGGCCCACTCTGCCTATGGGGGCTGTAGGGTGTCTATAACTGGCTAACACTGATGTCACTCTTCTTTCTGGGCCCTGCTCTGCCCCGCTGCCTGCTCGCCCTCTGCCCTGCTCTGCCCCTCTGGCATGGCTGTGAGCAGACCCTGGCTCGCCTAAGAAATGCCGTGCTCGCTTTGGCCTCAACCAGCAGACGGATTGGTGTGGTCCGTGCAGGTGGGTTTGTCCCCACCATCGTTCTCCCTTTGCTTTAAGCTGCTTCCCTGACTCTGCACAATTTCCACTGGGCCTGCAGCCCACTCCTTTGGCCCCTCAGCCCACTAGCATACTCAGCAGACTGGGAAGCCCAGGCCTCCTGAGAATAGTAGTAAATACTGAACACAGTGTGTGGAGAAGGCGGCTTGGGTCTAAGTGCAGGAGGAGTGGAAAGAAAGAATGTTCCAGAAAGGAAGGACAGACTCAAGAAGGTAGCTCTGATGCCAGCGGGCCTAGCAGGTCCTCAGCAAACAGACAGCTCAAACACCACTAAGGGGGCCTGGAGCCCATTCTCCCAGGCCTCAAAGTCATGGCCCATCGGCTCCCTCACTTCCTCTTCAAGATGGGATCCCTGCCTGTACCATCCTGAGCCCTTAATCTGAAAAAACAAGGTGACGACACAGAACCATCTGGTTGCCAGGCAACCATGTGACTTGCTATCTTGTACCTACTGAGACCAAAGGGCTGAAGAGGCTGGGGGAGAGAAGCCAGGGTACCCTGGGCTGTCTGAGGGAAAGGGCCCACGTGTTTCACCATACAACAGAGAAATACTTGTGGTTGTGACAAAGTTTACCCAACAAGTGGTTAAAGTTTCCTCAGTTTCAGGCCAGGCCTGGCAGGGCTAATACGGAGGGTACTCCAGGCAGTAAGGCCAGTGGCTCTAAGGAACACTTATCCAGCCCCTCAGTGTATCCACCACACTCCCTGTCTAAGGGTAAGGAGGAGTGGAGTTTGGAGTGTGTCTGTGTACCCACATATATATGCACAGTGGGAAACAACCCTGTCTTCAGAGGAAGTTCTGTTCCATTCATTCCATCAGAGACAAACTGGCCCAGAGAACTCAAGGATGGTAATGGACAAGAAGAGTCACTGTCCATGTCTTCTTCTCTAGCCCAACCTGAGGACTGGGATGGCTGGGCAAGGAAGCCATAGGCATTGCGGCCCCTTGCCTTGGTGCAGATCTGAGTCCCACAAACACACCTGGAGAAGCTCAAAGGCTGGGACTGGGAGATGACTCCCTTGGAAGACAGGTGACAGCCCACAGGCCTAGTGACAGAAGGCCCCTGTGCCACCTTGTGGCTGTTCTGGGAACTGCACCTGTCCTAGGTCTGGGCCAGGCCAAGCAGAGTGGTAGTCTGAGGACACTGACTTACCACCCAAGTCACGGGAAGAGAGGACAAGAAATCAGCCAGGCCTGTGCAAAGGCAGCACTTTTTGGTTGTGGTGTATGACTATGAATTCACCCTCTGTTTACAGATAACTCTCTTCACTATTCCTAGGAGGAAAAAGAAATGCATTCGGTACTTACCCGGAGAAGGCCGCTGCCCCTGCCCCGTTCCTTCCGATGACAGTGCTCTAGGCTGCCCTGGGTCCCCAGCTCCCCAGGACTCACCCTCTTACCATCTGCTGCCCCGCTTCCCCACAGAACTGCTTGCTAGCCCTGCGGAGCCGGCACCTACATCCCCAGGTCTCTCCACTGCTCTCAGCCTCCCAACCCCAGGGCCCCCACAGGCCCCCCGCAGCACCCTGCAGAGTACACAGGTACAGCAACAGGAATCTCAGAGACAGGCAGCCTAGCAGGCACAGGACACCTGGCCTCCTCCAGGAGCCTACCCGCTGAGAGAAAGCAACAGAGACCCAGATTGCATGAAAACCAGCCAGGGGTCCTGTTAACTCCGTCTCAGGGTTCAGACCCTGAAGATTCCAGAGGCTGCAAAATTTCCACCTGAACCTGAGGCCATCGATTCAAACTGCTCCAAGTGGTGGGAATCAGATCTGTGTTGTTGTGTCATCTAATTAAGGGAATCCCTTGTACCTGTGGCTGCCTGCATCTATTCTTTGTACCATCTGTCTTGCCAGCCAGAAGCCTCTGCCTCTCTAGCTTTTCTGCTCTAGGTTAGAGATGGGCTGAACTGAGCCTAGCTACCTTCTCTATCCATCTCCCCCATCCCCCACTGCCACACCCTCCCCATTCATGGACCAAGAATGACCTGGTTTGTCAAACAGCCACAAAGCTCAAGATGACAACTCTTTTAAGAAAATGGAGAAGCTCTGTTTATAAAACAAAACCAGCTGCTACTCATAAGTTGGACCAGAGGAAGCCTCTTACCATGTTCTCAGGAGCTTGCGAGAAGCAGGGAGGGGAATGGAATAGGTTGTTTAGGCCTATCAACCTAAGCAACAGAAATAACCTGACACTACCTTATCAGGCAAGTTGGGGAGCGGGGGTGTATCTAGCTCTATTTCAAATTATTTGGAAGTGTTTCCTGAGAAACTCACCGGCGTAAGAAGCTCTGATACCAAGGCCCCAGGCTTGTCACTAGCAGCGCAGTCAACAGTTCAAAGAAGTCATGGCCCAAATCCAGTGTTCACCTCTCCCCACTCACAGAGCCTTTTTCATAGTTCCATTTCCAGTTTATCTATGGCAGTCCAGCCAGCTCCTGGGCAGCTGTGAGATGGCAAACCCAAAACCTCACGACAGCCAGAGCCTGTTTTCCAGCATTCAGTCCCGACCAGCTCCAGTTTCCCCATGGGGCTGCGGGACAGAGGACCATTACAACTAGATCAAGGAGCCCAGAAAACCTCCAGTAGTCCAAACAGGTTTTCACCATAGCCTACTTTAACCCATTTTTGAGCCAAGCTTCAACCCTGAGCCTTGAAAAACAAGTCTTTTTTTAATTTAATTTTTGTTTTTTGCTTCCTTCTCATCGTACGTAGCCTGAATCCAAAGAAAAAGGGCTGCCTGGCGGTGGCTCACGCCTGTAATCCCAGCACTTTGGCAGGCCGAGACAGGTGGATCACCTGAGGTCAGTGGTTTGAGACTAGCCTGGCCAACATGGTGAAACCCTGTACCTACTAAAAATACAAAAATTAGCCGGATGTGGTGGTGTGCATGTGTAATCCCAGCTACTCAAGAGGCTGAGGTGGGAGAATTGCTTCCATCCGGGAGGTGGAGGTTACAGTGAGCCAAGATGGCGCTACTGCACTCCAGCCTGGGTAACAGGGAGAGTGTGTCTCAAAAAACAAAAAAAAAGAGGGCTGTCCATGTACTCACACACCCCTCAAAAAAAGCCTTTAGTTCCTACTTTAGCCACTGGTTTCTCAGAATCCAAAGATCACATATTCTAGTGTAACACTGCAAGAAGTCTTGAGAAAAAGATTATTGTAGTGTTCAAAATATTTTTGCATTGTTAATACATCATCATAGAAAAACTTTTTTAAACATGAGAATAAAGATACTTTTTACTGGATTTGTTTTTCAAAGCCTGACCCTGAGGAATAAGTTGTTTCAGTAACAGAGCACGATATTATTTCCTTTTCTTCTCCACAGTTAGGAAACTTGGAGTTTGTTCCCTATGGTGCATATGTTCCCAAACCTCCAGCCTGCAGAAACCAGGGATTACACTTGTCATCTCCCCTAAAGGGGTGTGGGCCCTGCCTGCCTCACCCCTGAGAGCTAGGCCTATACTCCTAAGCTTTGCTCTCTTAGCCCCCAATCCCCCCAGTGATGCAGACCCCACAATGATGCAGGCCAGCCTGCTCCCCAGTGCTCATATAAAATAGATGAGTTGGTAACTGCTGTCCATAAAGGCTGAAAAGAGAATCCAACCTGAAATGACCCAGCTAGGCTCCATTTGATCACACATGACCACTAGGCTCCATTTTCCTCTGAGGGCAGAGAGAAAAGAAAACATTCCACAAGTGCATATCCTATTTCAAGGAAAACAAGAGCAAACAGGAGTCTTTTATAACCTATTAGCACCACAAAATCCTAAAGAAGGATTTTTTAATAGCACCCTCTAAGACACAAAGTATTTTTCATATTTTCACACAAGCCTTTCAGTTTGATAAATCTATAACCCACTTTTTAAAAAGTCATACACACTGTTGGTGGACACGAGAGCCACCATATCCACTTTATTTTTACATTATTTGTATACATTTAGGGGGTACAAGTGCAGCTGTGTTACATGGATATATTGTGTAGCGGTGAGGTCTGGGCTTTTAGTGTGCCCTCCCCACCCAGAGAGTGTACTGTGCACGTAAGTAGTGTACGTTGTACTCAACAGGATTTCATACCTCATCCCCTTTTCATCTCCCACCTTTTGAAGTCGCCAGTGTCTATTCCATTCCGTATCCATATACCATGTGTACCTCACTGTGTAGCTCCCTACAACTCACTTTTTACATGACAGTTTCCACCAAGCACACTACTGTCTTCCAGAGACCCATCATGAATGTAAAAGGTGTCATGAAGGCACCTCAATGAGTCAGTCAACAAGTAGATGATGAATGTCAGGCAAGAGGTATTTCACATGGGACAGCCAGTGGGCCACCATCATGCATTGTCATTGTCATTCCACTGAGTTCTATTTTTTGGATTTTGTATTTAAAGATACTTATAAAGAAAATCATCTTTCAGAGCAGTGTCTATTTAAAGTAGGCCACTGGAAGTTGTAACCGCAGACTTGCTGCTTTTGCTTCTTTCTGAGAGAGTGCTAGAGGACACTAGCCATTCTCTGGACATCTGTCCCATTTTAAATAATTCTGTTCTGGCTACTGGCCTAGTTGTTTTTTTTTAAAAAAAAAAAAAACCTACATTCTAACCAGGGCTTATGCAAATGCAAGACCAGGTTGCTGCATCTGATTTGGTGTCTCACTTAGAGTACACAGGGTACATGAACAATGCAGTCTTTGTGTATTGGCGGGGAAGCCTTTGGCAACTCTGTTTAAATCAGATCAGCTTTTTTTTTTTCTTTTCAGTCTGACTTCATAAACTCAGATCCTCCCAAATCACCCTGGTGCATTCCTATGAGGCCAGAGGGTGATTTGAGATTGCAACCTCAAGTTCAACTTCTAATACCACACCAGGCCCCCTTCACTGCCAGCTGAGAACCAACCCTGTTTCCTGAGACACTGTAAGACAAGACACCTTAGCCTCCCTTCAACATTTCCAGACAACTAGCAGACCTGCAACTTGGGTGAAAGATGTTCGTCCCTCCTTTGGTACAGCTGCTCCCCATTTTGTGCTCAGTGGATATGGTGAGGGTTCAGCCCAGCAAGCAGACAAAAAGCTTATGTCTCCCAACCTGAAGGTGTCTACTTTAACAGAACCCCATGGCTGGACTCTCTTCTGACATGTAATTATCTTTTGAATGGCTCCTGTGGTCTCCCGTTCCTTCTGGCTGTGGACCCCCAACAGCTGGCTCAGAAGCACTGCTCCCTAGCTTTGTTCAGTGTACAGTAAGCCTGGCCAGGAAGGCCACAAGTAAAGGGAAGCGCAATAGTTCTTTATATCCCGTTCCAGAGAGGAAGAAAGGGAATCAGTTTCTGCATCTGCTTCTCAGAAAACAGCACAAAAGGGGCAAGGGTAACAAGGCCATGTTAAACAACTACTTAGGACTGTATGTCAAAGTAGAAGAATTTAAGACCCAAATCTAGTTAATTGTATAAAAAGGCTAAGTTGGCTTTTCTTCGATGTTAGAAAGGCTGCTTTAAGTGTGACTCTCAGATCTCTTCAGAGCTTTTTTTAAGCTCTTCAGGGCTTTAAGAGTTCACCAAGGGTTTTTGAAACAGCTGCCCACCCAAGCAGACCCTGGTTGTGTCAACTCCCCCAATCCCAACTTACTGTGATAACCTTGTTCCAAATCTCTAATCACCTTGTGGGCATCTTTCAAATTCAGTCTCCTGAGCTCTTCTCTAATGGTTTGGAGCTACTAACAAACCATTACTGGCAGTGAGCATCTGAATATACTCAAACAGCAGGGAGTTTGAAAACAGGGAACACAGATGGTGGGGATGTTCTCATACAGTCCCCTAGAATAAAAGCCTAGCTCAGGCCAGGAAGGATTTTCAAGCTCTTAAAGATAGCATGGGATTAGGCATGTTAATTGGAAAGGGAAAACTTACGTCCTGGGGGTGGAACTATCCTATCACAAGCAGTCCTCACAAGGTAGGTCACTATTGGTAAGGGATGTTTTCACTTGTGAAGACAAGATAGCAGCTGTGAATTATGTGGGAGATAGCCCAGGCCGACACTTCTTTCATATTCACCAGGGGCTTTGGACCAAGTCTTCCTTTTTCATTCAAGTGTTCTCATTCTTTTATCTGAAGCCTTGTTCTTTCGGGCATGTGCAATGTCAGGAAGCAGGGTCGGGGGCTTGGGGAGGGAAGAGAAAAGCCAGGTTCCACTCACCAAAAAAGAAAAAAGCCACTCTGGAAACCCTGCTTAAGTACTTCAGGATACAGAGTACAGCTTCTCTATTTTCCCACCCCTTTCCGTAAGCTTCCTGGAACAGAAAAGTCTGCAAACCAATTGAAGAAGGCAAAGAATTAGAGGTTGTGAAATGGTATACTCAGGAAAGGACAAATACGAATTTTCACCAAATAGGTGGGAGGTATTCAAAGTGAGAGCACTTTAATGAAATAAGCTGATCCTCAGTGTGCAATAAGAGGCTGCTATACAGCAGGTTGAAAATTTAAAGTTAAGACATATCAGAAGGTCTGAATATACTTAAATACTTCCAGAAAATTTAAAGTTGAGAGATATCAGAGGTCACAAGAACTAGATGTGGAAGCAGACACTGTTGTGAGCAACTACATTCCTCCCATAGAATGCTGCTCAATACTGGCACACAGACCAGAGGTAGCCAGCAGTACACAAGACTGCAAGGCAACAAGTACATTATCAGTGAATTAGCCATCTATCACTTAAACCATGTTCCGCATTGGAAGTGCGTCAAGCAAGAGCACCTTTGACAATACTTTTCTGCCACCACCAATGATCATCTCCACTGACACATACTTCATCTTGATATGCACAGCCAGTTCTCTTACTCATTCTCTTTGACCATTGGAGGTAGTGATTTTTAACAACAGTAAACAAGAAAAAGTCATCAGGACTCTAACTGTAAAACCCCCAACATTCAAAAGACTAGTTTAGTTCAAGAGCAAAAAAAAAAAAAAAAAATTAGAATTTAGCTCACACACTCAAAATTGCCCTGCCTAATGTGGGTCTGATGAATAAATGCTGATAAAATACTACCGAGTGTCAGCAAAGTACTATCACTAATCCTGCCCTAATTTCTCTTTACAGTCTATATTCTCAGGGAAATGTACCAACACTCAACCTTCTGCTGTTAGTTCCTAACTGAGCACTGCTTTTTCCTCACTTTGGCATCTCTCCACCCCCAAACAAATCCAACTTGATTCTTAAAACCAAGTTAGTTTCACTTTACAGAACCTTTCCTAGCAACTTTCAGCTCTGTAGCCCCTCATTGGCTCATTAATCTTGTTCTGTCCAGAAACACTTTTTTTTTTTGAGACGGAGTCTCGCTCTATCGCCAGGCTGGAGTGAAGTCAGTGGCGCGATCTCGGCTCACTGCAACCTCCGCCTCCCAGGTTCAAGCGGTTCTCCTGCCTCAGCCTCCCGAGTAGCTCGAACTACAGGTGTGTGCCACCACGCCCAGCTAATTTTTGTATTTTTAGTAGAGATGGGGTTTCACCATGTTGGCCAGGCTGGTCTCAATCTCTTGACCTCGTGATCCGCCCACCTCAGCCTCTGAAAATGTTGGGATTACAAGCGTGAGCCACCGAGCCTGGCCCAGGAACATTTTTATTAGAGTTATCCACTCCCTCCCAGCAGTATTTATGCCTTGTCGCCTGAACTACACCAAAAGCTCCCAGCTCCCAAGAGGGAAACCATGTCTAATGCTTCCTATCAAGGAGAAGCCAGGAGCTACACTTTAAGGATTCAGCCATTTTGTAAGCTTTCCCTTTGCTTGCAGTCTTCTTATTCTTGACTTCTTCCTAGCTTAAAAAGTTATACACTGGTTTCAAATCCAGATAATTAAAGATTAACTTTTCAAATCCTCAAACAACTTTGTAGGGAGAACATTTACTTGGTTGAGTCTTTCCTACCAGAATGTACACTGAGCTTTAGAAAAGGAAAAATTGGTGGGTGCTGTGGCTCACATCTATAATCCCAGCACTTTGGGAGGCTGAGGCAGGAGGATCTCGAGCCCAGGAATTAGAAAACAGCCTGGGCAACATGGGGAGACCTCATCTCTATAAAAACAGTTTAAGCCGGGCGCGGTGGCTCACGCCTGTAATCCCAGCACTTTGGGAGGCCAAGGCGGGCGGATTACGAGGTCAGGAGATCGAGACCATCCATGGTAACACGGTGAAACTCCGTCTCTACTAAAAATATAAAAAATTAGCCGGGCGCGGTGGCGGGCGCCTGTAGTCCCA